CACTCTGGAACCTGCTGCCCGATGATGTTCGGACAATAGGAAGACAGACAAAGTTTAGCATAAGCCATACGTTGCCTACCATATTGTTGCTCAGACTAGCCCGCCCCTAGCTCTCCTCGACCACCCTGTCACCCCTGATACCCACTTGACTCCTCTGTCAGATACTTTTTCTTTCGTACTTTTCTAATTTCTGTCGTCTCTTTTCTAAATGCGGCTCATCCATTCGCCTTTATATCATTGGGCCTAGTTCCCGTTTGTCGCGCGAATAAAAAATAAACCAACCAACCATTATTCGCAGGGTGAGGGTTTATTTTATTTTTTTATTTTTTTTACAAAGACCACTTAATGCCAAACATGAGATGCAGCTAGGGGAAGCACGCACAACCTGAGGGTGACATCGGTTGGACGAGTATAGCAACCACGAAGACCATTATGGACTCGGATGGAGAGCCAAGGATTGATTTATACAAAAGAGAAAGGACCAAGGAACTACAAGTTACGCTATACTGTCCACTAACACCACCAGTTACTAAACAATCAGCTTATGCGATAACATTGCACGACACTGACCGACGGTACTGACGTTCTACAACTAACTGGCTAACAGCTCGAGCACATCTCGGATGCGTACTCCAACAGCCTTCCAACTTGGAAGGTTCTAAGTTATAGATATAACGTAAGGAGGGGAAGGTGAGCGCAACCAAGATACGCATGAGCTGAAAGTCTCAGCTGTGAAGGACGTTGGCGGATGTTCATGCATGTCGATGACGATACTGGCGAGCCCTTTGGACAATACGGTCAAACCACGATTCAAGGACGCAAAGCAACATTCCACACAACTTGTGTGGCTCAAAAGATGCCAAGATCAATAATAGTGGAAGCCATGCGAACAAGAATCACGAAAAAACCGAACGCCTCAGTAAAACAGCACTGTACTTCGACTATGCCAATTTAGATGGACAATTTAGCAGCGGTAACAAGCAGTCGTTTCACACAACGATCGTTTCGCCGTATAGATAAAGACGGCTCATCAGGTGTGCAGGAATGGATTCAGATGGAGAGCCAAAGATTAATTCATACAAAATAGAAAGGACCAAGGAACTACAAGTTACGCTGTGCTGTCCACTAACACCATCAGTTAATTACTAAATAGTCAGCTCATATTTTCAGTATACCCAACTCGCAACACACTAACAGTCCTTGGCTACACCACGTACAGTTGAAATTGTCCAAATTTTCACCCAGGAGGGCATCATCAGGGATATAGGAGAAGAATGATACAAAGTTGGCTTTTATAAGACAGTACAGGAATAGTAACATACTTCACACTACATACTTCACACTGCATACTTCACACTACATACTTCACACTACTACATGTAATCTGAAACACGTTATAAGCTAGCACTAAGACATAACGATGTAAGTGAGCATTTCATCAAGTGCAAAGTGGGCGTGAGACAGCCATGGTTGAGTTGATGTGTGTGTATGTGTGGGGGGGGGGGGGGGGGTTATGCGTGTGTGTGTGTGTGTGTGTGTGTGTGTGTGTGTTTGTGTGTGTTTGTGTGTGTCCCATATGGTGCAGTGGTATGTGCAGCGATTTCCAATCGATAGATTGCGGGTTCGATTCCCGACGATTATGGTCACACACGTCTTTCTTCTCTTTCTCAGACTCTTCCTGACTTTTCTTTCATTCTCCTGGGTGGTTACCAACAGCCAGTGCATGCCGGAGTATGTGGTGTGATGTGTGTGCGGGAAAAAAAAAATGAAAAGACCAAAAATAGGGATTCACTGGCCAGAAAATGTCACTCCAAATAGCTGTATGGTGTAGACCAGGCTGAATAGTGACGGTCAATTCTTCAGCCTTGCAAGCTGTTGAATGGTGTAATCCCAGCACAAGTTGCTATGGCTTCTGCCGTAGCATTGCTATCATCGCCTCCGGCGATGGGCGTCAAAGGTCGTCAAAAGGTTGTGTGGTGAGAGGGGAGGGGGTTAAGAGTCAAGTATGGAGTGTGTTAATCTTCTCAAGCTCTCAAGTCAGGTGTGGCTATCCATTCGAGATGTCGATTCTGAGATCCCACACTCGCTGTGATAACAACAAGGTGTGGATACCCAGTCTGTAGATCAGCCATGTGCTGGGAAGTGTGATTCATGCCAATAGCCGCCAAACCTTGTCACTGTTCACCTTTGGTCGTCGATTTCTGGTCTCTGTTGCCTCAAGGTACTTGCGTGGTGGAAGAGAAGGCTCCCTGCCGAGAACCACTTAGTCATTAATCCAATTAAATATGACACCTGGGCCACTTCAAAACCACTTCACATCTCAAGTGGCCACTTCATTACCGCTTATCCAATTAAAAGGTCAAGTGGCCACTTAATTAATAACCACAAAGTTCAAGTGCCCATTCATAAGGTCAAGTGGGTTCAACTTTGTGCCAGAACCCGCTCGGTCCCTACTACTCACAATACGAACATAAGGACTGAACCGGCGCACACGTCGAGAAACCCGAGCGGACAGTGCTTCGTTGATAAACGGCAGCTTCAGGATGACTTGGCCCGGTTTCTTCCACTGGCGGGGTGTTGCATTTGCGAAGCGAGCAGCATTCTTGATGGCGCGGCTTATTTCGTTGTCCGGGTAATCATTTGCCTTCGGCAGTGCAGAGATCTTCCCAATCCAGGCTTGTCTTCCCTTTTCGGTCGATGCGTTCCTCATAGCCCTGCCAAACTGGTTCTTAGCTACTGCGCGCTTGGGGGCCATCGGCATTGCTGAGTAGTACGACAAAATGTACTCCACTGTGGGACGGCTTGATGAAAAGCTCCCAACCCCCCCCCCCCCCACACACACACACATCAACTCAACCATGGCTGTCTCACGCCCACTTTGCACTTGATGAAATGCTCACTTACATCGTTATGTCTTAGTGCTAGCTTGTAACGTGTTTCAGATTACATGTAGTAGTGTGAAGTATGTAGTGTGAAGTATGTGACTGTTCTTGTACTGTCTTATAAAAGCCAACTTTGTATCATTCTCCTATATCCCTGATGATGCCCTCCTGGGTGAACATTTGGACAATTTCAACTGTACGTGGTGTAGGCAAGGACTGTTAGTGTGTTGCGAGTTGGGTATACTGAAAATATGACAAGGCTACAGTGGAGTTTCAAAGTTCTTAAAAAATCAGCTCATACGTTAACATAATGTGCGCCACTGGTGGCCGGGACTTACTCACAGACCTTGGCCCCCACTTTGGGTATCACCCGAATGCTGCCAAGACATGGCTAGTGGTGAAGCCATCCAGCTTGCCAGAGGCCCAGGAGATCTTTTCCGGCACAGGCATTAAGATCACTGCAGAGGGTCGGCCATACCTCGGCGCTGCCATCGGCACAGAGGAGTTCCAGCGACGGCATTTCTCAGCTAGACTGGAGGAATGGTGCAGCCAGCTTACAGTGCTCACAGAGTTTGCAAAGACTGATCCCCAGTCTTCCCTCGCCGCGTTTGAACACGGTCTGCGTCATAGGTGGACGTATGCTATGCGAACCACACCTGATGACATTGCTGACTTTGAAGCTCTGGAGTCTGTCATCGCCCAGGAGTTCATCCCAGCTGTTACAGGCGTTGCTCCTCCATCTCCCCCACTGCGCCAGCTGCTGTCGCTGCCCCCTCGCCTTGGAGGTCTTGGTTTGCTGTCCCCCCCCCCCCCCCCACTGTCTATCGCTCCACTCCAGCACGCCACATCAGTAGCAGTCACCAGTGAGCTCCAGGCCAACATCATGCGCCAGTCCCTACTGCTGGCCACTGACGAGGACACCGTGCGCAATGCTAAGCTCCAGGGCTGTGCCAAACTCCGTACCCTGTGGTCCGACACTACTGCCACCATCAGTGCAGACCTCAGCGACCATGAGCAGCGCTCCTTGGAGGCTAGTTGCGACCGCGGTGCCAGCTCGTGGCTATCGTGCCTGCCCATCGCTGCACACGGCTTCAGCCTCGACAGGAGGTCATTCCAGGATGCTATTGCTGCACGCCACGGGTGGCCTGTTCTTGGTATCCCTGACACCTGCTTATGTGGTGTGCCTTTCACCACCGACCATGCCATGATATGCAGACGTGGCGGCTTCCCCATCATCCGCCACAACCATGTCTGGGACTACATTGCCGGTCTTCTTGGCAGAGTGTGCAATGCCGTGGAGACGGAGCCTGTTCTTCAACCCCTTGCTGGTGAAGCTCTTCCAAGGGCCGCCAACACTGACCCTCAGGCCAGACTGGACGTCAAGGGGAGGGGCCTCTGGTCCATGCAAGAGGATGCATTTTTTGACATAAGGGTTTTCTATCCCTGCGCGTCCTCTTACATGACTAAGTCCCTCTCTGCGACCTACAGATGGCATGAGGAGCAGAAGAAAGCGGCTTCTGGTGAGCGGGTCCGGCGGGTGGAGAGGGGCAGCTTCTCTCCGTTGGTGTTCTCCTCTGTCGGGGGAGCTGGCGGTGAGGCCCGGAATGTGTTGAAACGTCTCGCCATTCGCCTGGCAGCGGCAACCGGAGACTCGTACAGCGTCCTCATGGGACGGATCCGCTGTGAGCTTGGCTTCACTCTAGTCCGTGACTCCGTCATGATGTTGCGTGGTAGTCGGAGGAAGGTGAATTTCAGCCATCACCCCAGCGATGTCCTGCAGCATGAGTCGCTCATGCCAGTTTGACTCGGTTCAATTTGTCTTTTGTGTCTGTGCATGATGATGTCACAGGTTTGTTTGCCAGTTTTGGTTCTGTTGTCGTTTATCCTCCGTCTTTGTATTTTGTTTTGCTGTTTCCTTTCTCTTCTTCCTCTTTGCTCACGTTGATGCCACTTTGTTGTGAGTCCGCATGCTTTGACTCGAACTCGCAAGGTTGATTATTATCTCTTGCACCTTTTACTGGTTTAGGACTTGTGCCCAGTCCTGAAGTTATTGCTCATTGTTTGTGTTTTGTTTTTTATTGTTTTACATTTGCATTTACATGTATTTAGAACACATGCTCAATTCATGTGCAAGGTTGATTGCTATCCCTTGCACGTATCAGTGCCTGTGCCCTTTCCTGTTTTATTTCATCTCATAATAGTACATAATAAACCAGTTTGGAAAAAAAAAAATAATAATAATAATCATTGCACGACACGATGGTGAGAAAAGCAGACAACCGCGAGATCCCACATTTCCTATGCCTAGCCGTAATCACCAGGGATGCGACAGGAACAGCATGGATTTGTGTGACCCGCCTCATGATTATATTCAGTAATATTGATGTACAAAAAAAAGTAGCAGCAAGGACTAGCTGAGAACAAAATGTTTCTGACTTACGAAATCCACTCCTATGCTTATGTTGACATTGGGCTTAGTATCACGTACGTTGTATCTCAATCGCCTCGCGCTGTTTGCCACAGGCTCGATCAGGCTCTCTCCCTATTGTATGTATGTATACCTCATAACCATTCTGGTCGTAGGGACGGCATGTGTGTCATAAGGCAGCAATATAAAAAAACCCACCGAAGGATGTACACAGAGTGCTGACAGTGCTCAACACCACAAAAGCAGAGCGTAATGCACAACAGAACAACAAGGACAATCAAGGCTTGTTTGCTGCTACTTTAAGTTTCATTTTGCCTGATGATTGCTTGAGCACGAAACTTAAAGTAGCAGCAAATAAGACTTGATTGTCCTTGTTGTTCTGTTGTGTAAAAAAAACCAAAAAACCCTAACTACACTGATAAACAAGCTGCCTATACCTATCACGATCAGCAGCAACGAGAGGGAGAGAGAGAGAGAGAGAGAGAGAGAGAGAGAGAGAGAGAGAGAGAGAGAGAGAGAGAGAGAGAGAGTGGCAAGATTCATGGTCCCTATTACAGTACTGCAACTGCAGAGAATGCACTTTGCCCATAGCTGAGCGTGGATCCAGGGTGAGTGGCAAGAACATGTTGGCCCCATGGCTTGTCGAGCTCTTGTCGTCTTTCTTCACCACTATCTTCTTGCAGGCGAGGTCTGGAACCTAACTATAAAGGGTTACCAGCAGCAACCACAGCAATATCGTCAACCTCACCACTGAGAAAAAGGGGCCGAGCGTGATCCTGTTCGTTCTGGATTTCGCGATATGTGATCTGTTTCCATTCCTCGACAGTTCGGTCTTTCGAGAACATTGTGTGCGTAAACTGGTCCGGGGCGGAACGACGCGGTTTACTACTGCTCCGCGGTCTTCGGACGTACGGATGGCGAAGTGCGCGTACAATGGAGATGCGCTCGTCAGGGTTGATCTTAAGCATCTTGGATATAAGGTCCTTAGCTTGATTAGTGCGGATCCAATCTTCCGGTGTTTCCATTACGTCACTACCCTGTGATGTCATCATATGCTGGTTAGTAGGATCTTTAGCTTGGTGCAGTCTCTGCTGTCCCAGAAGCCGCGAAAGGATGCATCCGATCGCCCACGAATCCACACCTTTTCCGCAATGACTGCTCTGGACGACTTCTGGAGCAAGATAGGCACTGGTCCCGCCGGTTACACCCGCGTTTCCCTCTCCGTCATCTACTAGCGACATTCCGAAGTCAGCAATCTTCAACGTGTAGTCGCTATTCATCAAAATATTGCGAGGTTTTAGATCTCCGTGAATGACGTTTCTGGCATGCAAATAACGGACTCCACAAAGAATGTCACGCAGGATTGATACAATATCAGAGTGGTCCAAGTGATTGCCGACTTTAGAACTTAAGTCACAATCCATCTTCTGCATCACCAGGTAAACATCGCTAAATTCTTTCAGGTTTGAGGCCGAAGTAAATATGTCCAATACGCCCATGCACAGACGATGCTGCAAGTTGCGCATGAGAACTACCTCCCTGAACGTGTTCTTAGCCGAGATGGCATCCTGGAACGGCTTGCAAATCTTCTTGATGGCAACCTTCTGCTTTTCCCGTTTGTCCCAGGCCTCCACCACAACAGCTTGTCCTCCTTTCGCAATCAAGGATGCCTTTTCATATCGCTGCGGTAAGTTGAACGTTTCTTCTCCGATAGTTGTACTGTAGAACGAATACGCTTCACTTCCTCCGCGAGACATCTCAATAGTATCCAAGGAACGAGCCACACAATCTGAACGTTATGGTTCACTGCTAGTATGCTGTACGTTGTCGTTGAAAGCAAGCGCTCAAGGTATACGGTCAGCGTCTTGCTCATCAAATCAACAACTAACTATGGCAGCTGAACCAAGTCTAAACGTGCTACACGCGAGTAATTAGACGTCTGCTTGTCCCACTCACTCGGCTAACGGACCTGAAGACTAAATACTAGTATGGCCATTAGCTCGCATATAAATACAGGACGTGCTAGAAGAAGTACATCTTCCTCTGTGCAACGTCAAGTAACTACACGTAGTTGGTGCAATACAATAATATATTCAAACACTGAAACAGTGGCACGTCAAGTCGGCGGAGAGAAAGAGCACCAACAAGAAAGTGGTCTGTCTACACGCCTCCCTGGCTGCATGCTATATACAATGTACAATGTACAGTGCTGCAGAATGAATTCGCGGAGTACAGTGTGTAGTCCGTCGAGTTACGTAAGTTGTTTTCGCCGTGCACTGTTGCTGAGCACATGCACCGTGTTCGCAGGTCTAGGGCTGTGCTCCGCATTGATTCTACTGGATTTCATCTAGCATTCTGTCCATGTATTCAAGAAAGAGCTGCGGAAACATTCTTGTCAGTATTCAGGTCTACTCGCTGGCATGCCGTTACCCTGTTCATCGTAGTCCCCCCCCCCCCCCCCCTTCCCAATCTGTACTCTCTTGTACCATCATCCTTCAATGCGATGGACCCCACGATAGGCGGTCAGCCTTTGGGTCATCCTAATAAAGTTATTCTTATTTTAAAATAGGTTTTTCATTTGACCCGACGAGACCACACGACGCTTGCAGATCACAGCACAGCATGAACAGTTCACCAGCCACACTCCACGAAAGCAAGTAGTAGTACTCCTGACAAGTCTTGTTTCGTTCCATAGAGATAATAACGGGGAACTCATCAGAGGAGAAGCAGTTGTTGAATGAAGGGGTTATTATTATTATTATTATTATTGTTGATCACGCACACAGCGAGCATTATCTTGCAATACACTCAGGTACTTATCAACTAACACAACACAGTGTTACTTACGAACGTGAAGAAAACGACCAAAGGCACCGCCATACTCGACTACGCTGTCCTGCACAGTGAACCAGTAAACCTTTCAAAAGGTTCCTCACTCACGATGACGTCAACACTGACTGTGTTTGAGTGGAAAGTCAAGTGTCTCTCCACTGATCAAAAGGTTCTGAACTGACTTCGACGTTAGCACTGAGTGTGTGAGTGGAAAGACAAGTGTCCCCCATGCACTGATCAAAAGGTTCTGAACTGACGTCGACGTTAGCACTGAGTCTGACTGGTGCGTGTGTGGAAAGACAAGTGTCTCTCCACTGGTCAAAAGGTTCTGAACTGACTTCGACGTTAGCACTGAGTGTGTGAGTGGAAAGACAAGTGTCCCCCATGCACTGATCAAAAGGTTCTGAACTGACGTCGACGTTAGCACTGAGTCTGACTGCGTGTGTGGAAAGACAAAAGTCTCTCCACTGGTCAAAAGGTTCTGTACTTACACACGGACTGTGTCACAGTGTGCGTGCAAGGTGTCCCTTCATCGATCAAAGGGTACCACACTCACGTTCGTCCTAGTCTCAGTATCATTGTCTTTCTTTATTATTTTCGAGCTGGGAGTGTGAACATAGTAAAAAAAACAAAACAATAAAAAACAAAAAAAACACTACACTATGGTGCACGTCGCTCAGCACCACGTGAACCTGCCAGTGTATACGGGCAATCACAGAACATGATTTCACTGGCCTGACGCAACAACTAAAGAAAAACAAAACAAACAAATATTTTAAATAAAAAGAAGATAGAACTTCACACATGATCTCCACAGAATGACAACTCCATTTTAAAAGATAGTCTCTATTGATCAGTCTGTATTCGTTACCCGTGTTAGCTAGTTGCCAACAAGGCGGGAGTGCGATACTAGTGCCCTCTGCCTCCTGTATAAAGCCTTTTGCGATAATTCTCCCTCTCTTCTCCCGAGAATGGCTCCACCCCCAACACACCAGCCTAGGACCACACGCCTCACCCGCCAGGCTGTGCGACTGTCCACCGCGCACCCCCATCAGTTACAGACTGTTCTTCCTGCCAATTCCCGGAACAATGTGAGCCGAGCCTTTCCCCACTCCGTCATCCCAATTTGGAACCAGCTGCCTTCCTCTATCATTCCCTACCCATTTCACCCAAAGAACATCCAAAAGTTCAAGACAGCAGCTTATCACCATCTCCTAAGAACGAACTGGGCCACTCATAGCATACGCGAGTAAGAGGGTACAGTGTCCTACCCTGCTTGGACATAATCTCTCCTCACAGACAGTCACCTCTTGAATTTAAAAGTCTAACAGCGTTCACACCAATACTCAACTTATTCTTTTGCTCACTGAGCAATACAATCTTTCCGTTTTCTTTCTTCTGTTTTCTTTTTCAACTTAATCCTCCCTACCCAATATCCCTTTGGTGCGTCCATGGAGCTATGAAGCCGAGACCTCTGGTCGGCGGAGCTTAATGGGCCCCGCCACCACACGCCATTATTCACCCCAGTGTCGGGAGATGTGTGGATTTTGAAAAACAAAACAAAACTAGTAGACTTCACTATAGTAGTATAGTACTGCTACCGGTGGAATCCTGATAATTCGAACCTCGCCAATGCCAGGAAAAAAGTTCTAATTATCCGGACATTCTAATGATCCAAACATGAACCCACAACACAATAATTTATGTATATCAAAGATTCAAAATGCTCTCATGGCCACGCAGAGTTGCGCGATGGACTTTAGACACAGATTTCACGGATACTGAACTGACCGGCACAGTCTGCTCATGCAAACTGAACTGACCAGTACAGTGTGCAGTGAACTTCGAATTACACTTTGCTAACTTCGAATTATCAGCACAAATCCCACACATTTTCTATGAAAGTGGAATCCGTGGAACTTCAAATTAACCGGACATGTCTGGTTCGAGGTTCGAATTACATGTATTCGAAAAAATTATGTGAGAATCGTATTGACAGAAATCGGTCCTGGAAAAACTTCAAAATGTTCGAATTAAGCCATATTCGAATTATCAGGAATCCACCTGTAGTAGTAATGCGAGGCATCAGGGTTCTCTGTTACTCTGTACCAACGTATAACTAATTCGTCTTTGCAATCACTATACTCAACATGCTATGTTCTGCTATGTCCTGCTCTTTTCAAGCGGGGTCACGTGGGCGAAGGGGCCGTCCCGCAGCTACTCTCCTTACCACCATCATGAAGGACCTGGCAGGGCACGACATCCCTTTGAAGAATGCCAGCGACCTAGAAGGAGCACGAAGCATTTGCTGCAGACAAGTCGAAATGGAGATCAGACATTGTTTATGGATGCGTTTTTGTTGACTGAAGACAGAAGCGGACTTGGCTTAATTTCAGTGTATTCTCATGCATTGTTCTTTGGCCTTTGTACGCGTGCTGTGGTATTATTATTTACTATTATCCTCAACATAGTACTGTCCTAGTGTAGAATGTGACTTCCTTGCCGTGCGATCCTGCTGCGGTCTCTGTGGGCGAGTTTTCCCCACTACAACAGTATAAGACATTCAGAGACGTAGACCCAGTCGTGGTGGCTTCCATTGTGGGCTACGCATGCAGTGATTGTGAGGATCACTCGCGGTCTCGCGCTCACTACAAGATATGTTCCTCAAGTAGCCCAGTCCGCAGACACGATCCAGTTCGCCGATGACGTCGCAGTATATTGTAGCGCTGGCACGACTCAGGCTGTTGCAAGTACGCTCTCAACCGCAGTCTCCTCCTTGGCTGCATGGCTGGAAGAGCGAGGACTGATTCTGAATGAGAAGAAGAGTCAAGTTCTCACAGTCTGCCCTGGTAGAGACGCTGGACCCCGGGTCACAGTTCTCTGTCGCAGCCAAGCTCTGCCGACCTCTGCCGACAGTCACCAGCGCGAAATACCTTGGCGTCATCATTGACGAGGGGCTGAACTTTCAGCAACACCTGAAAGCCATTACAGCAAAGGTGTAACAATTTTTTACGAGTTATGACAAACTGTCCACCAACGTAACCAGATCTTATACAGTCAGCGAGTGCGACAAAATGGCACAACACTGACAAGGAGTACTGAGACATTCGGCAACCTGACACCTAGCTCGTGCTCTTCTTCGTTGCGCTTTCCTTCCCCTCTTGGACCTTTCCGAACCTGAGCCTTCCAAGTAATAGTTGGAAGATTGTTGGTTTGCGCCTTGGAGAAGTGTTGGAGCTAGGTGTCAGGTTGCCGAATGTCTCAGTACTCCTTGCCAGTTTTGTGCATTTTGTCGCACTCGCTGACTGTATAAGATCTGGTTACGTTGGTGGACAGTTTGTCATAACTCGTAACAATTTGTCCTTTTCCTTTCTTCTTCATGCCTATATTGGCTCACCATCCGAGTTCAAATTTGCACACCTGATGAGCCGTCATAACCTATACGGCGAAGCGTATGTCGTGTGTGATTACTTGTTATTGTACATAACTAGTCCATCATACATGATAGTGAAGTTCAGTAGGATGTTGGCGTTTCGGTGTGTCGTCTTCGCTTAGCTTCCCCTTCTACTAGTATGTTTATTACATAAACTTGAGCCTCCCAAGTTGGGTGGTCTGTTGCTTTGCGTCGTCGAGTTAGTATACCGTGGGTTTGTTCGAGTATACCGTGGGTTTGTTCGGCCGATCCTGGAGTATGGGATGCTGGTATGGATGAGCGCAGCACCCTCCACACTAGCCAAGCTCACAGCCATCCAACGTAGGGCACTGCACGTCATTGGTGATGGCTGCTACCTGCCCAGCCGGGAGTGTGGCGATGGGATCAAGTGGATGGTGTGGCGATGGGATCTCCTCTTGGTCCCGTCCTCGCCAATATATTCGTTGGTTATTGTGAGTGCAAGATTGATGAGTCGCTTTGGCCCGCGTTCTACGTGCGTTTTGTTGACGATTCGTTCACGCATTTTGACAGTGTTGAGAGCAGTGAATTGTTTCTCGATGTGCTCAACAGCCTACATCCTTCCCTCCGCTTTACTTGTGAGCACGAGCAGTCTAGTAAGTTGTCATTTCTAGACGTGCTTGTAGAGAAGACTGGCTGTGAAATGTTGACTTCTGTGTATCGTAAGCCTACGTTCACTGGTCAGTACATTGCCTTCGATTCATATTGTTCGTCTCAATACAAGGTCAACTTAGTTCGTAACCTCGCTGTCCCGTCTATCTATGTTTGCCATGGAAGGGGCAGGAATCGATCAAAGTGTGTCGCGAAGTCAAGTCTATCGTCCGTCGTACTTATTATGCAGTACATTTTGTGCCAGTCTTCACAACAATGCGTGCGTTCACGGTGCGGAAGGACGTCCTACCAACCCTCCACCTCAGTCATGTTATCTACAACTTCGAATGCCGACATTGTGCTAGTCGGTATGTTGGTAGGACTGTTCAGCACCTGAACGCACGTATCAAACAACACACTCCACTTCACATCCTTCCACCCAGTGCGCAATCTGAGAGGCCCAAACGCGGGAGGCCTAGGAAAAACCCATCACCTACATGGCAGGATAGTTCCCTGCCGCTGTCTGCCGCTCCCCCTCTGACATCTGTGTTGGACGGGCTTGAGCTTGGCAGCTCTTTGGAGGTGCGTGCGGAACCGCCATTGGTGCAGCCCTCGGGTGTGCCTAAGTCTGTGCCTCTGGGTGCTTTGCATGGGGCTGTGCCTCGAGTGGTGACATCACCTCTGCCTCCCCCTGACCCTCCTCCTTCGAGGTATGTGTTGGTGGAGAGCACCCGCGGCGGTCGATTTGTTCCACCGGAACTAGAGCTGGATTCAACAAAAAGACCAACAACCATGGCTGCAACAACAACACCAGCTTCACATCCAACAACAACACCAGGTTCACATTCAACAACAACAACAACAACTAATCCACAAAACAAAGCAGCAAATGACAGACCACGGAGATCTGCAGCAGATTACAACCGGACCTATGAATTCACGGTAAAAATACAAAGGAAACAATCGGAAAGGACGACGACTGACATGAAGGCAACGGCATTCACGGTTGGCGTGGGTGGTGAAGGTGAGACGCAGGACGATGCAAGTGAGGAGGAGAGTCGAACCGCTGTGGATGACGGAGCAGGTTCTGATTCGGACAGTGAGGGAGAAGGTGAGCTGAGTGAGGGTGAGAGTGAGTGTGAGGGTGTGCGCGTGAGTCGAGATTGTGTGCGTCCGTCTCGTAATAAGTCTTCAGTATACAATCATTTGGTTTCTAGTACTGACTGTTGTCGTACTTATTCTGATTCCTGTTTTTCTGTTTTGTGCCGTGCTCGTCATGGTTATCTTTTGCAGTTACAAGTTTTGGAAGCTGTTTGTCAGCGCATTCATAAGCCGAATTTGTGTGTCCAGAAAGATAGTGTTATTACCCTAAAATTGTTCAAATAATGTTCTTTTGTGTAGTGTGGCAACGTTGTTGCCACTTGTGCCTAAATGTGTTTTGTCACCTTCTTGTTTATTATTGTTATTATTATCATTCGTTCTCACTTTTTTGTTTTTGTTGCTGATACACACTTGTCACGCTTAGTTCTTACTTGTATACCCTTGTGTTCTACACACTTTTGTGAGAAATCGCACCTCGATATTCCAGTGCTGTCATTGTATCGTGTCACCCTACCTTGATTGCTATAATATTATTTCCTTTGTTCTCATTTTGTTCTTTAGTACAACGGTGATTCCTGAAGAGTGTTGTACGAAAACTTGTTCGAATCATCTTTTTTTCCATTGCCCTTTTTCTTCTTACATGTATTTTATTTACCCTTTAGATTGTTTCTTGCATCGTCTCCATCGCTTACATTGTTAATAAAGTAGTCCACATGTCGCTTCAGCTCGTCCTACTTATTGCCATATTATTATTATTTATTCTTCTTTTACTAGGGAATTCCCAACAGGCGTCAGCGCCCTTTTACAGGGAACCCTAGGTAGAATTTGATGGATGAGCGAAATTCAGCTGGTGAACTAGACATGCGGCAAGCCGGTGGAAGTTGAAGTAGAGTAACCCTCTTGCGCATGTTGTACGTAATGTAATGATTGATACGTACTTTCGATATTGATTTCGCTGGTGCACACGTTGGTGCAGTGCTGGTGCACGCGCTGATGCACGCGCTGGTGCAGCCAGTTGTTTTCTGCTGTATGTGATGCAGCTTGTTGAGGAGAAGGGTTTTCAATATCTTGTGTTCAGTTCTTCTTGCTTCTGGCCTGGTCGAGGTCGTGCTTTTTTCTTCTGTAAACTTCTTGTGCATTTTGGAATTGAAATTAATAATAATTATAGTCCAACTTATATCCTTGCGCTGGTCTGGTGGTGGATAATTCCACAACAACGTGGTACCGAAACCCGGTTTTGAGTGGACCGTTGGCGCTTTGTGGTTAGGTTCTCGGAGAGTATTAATTTTGTTATTTCACTGCCTGTTTCAGTAGTAATGGCGTCGTCTGCTGGACATTCCTTGTTGCGGCCGTATCGTGGAGGAGATGACGACCTGGAAGCGTTCTTGCTGAAATTCCGCGTGGTGTCACGGATACAGAAATGGACGTCGGAGGCTAAAAGAATGGACCACTTTCCTTTATTCCTAGACAAGGACGCGTTCACTGTTTGGAGTGCGCTGCCGGACGTCGAGCAGACCAGTGAGGAGGTTGTCCATGGTGCGCTCCGAGCCGCTTTCTGCATCACGCCAGCAGAGGCGTATAAGAAGTTTGTGGCCAGAACTCTTCGTCGGGGAGAGAGCGTTGACGTCTACTTGGCCGACTTGAGGAGGTTTCTCCGCCAGAGTGGTCTTGTGGAAGCGCGTGACACTTCGTCAGGGAAGTCGTGTGACCCAGTACTCCTGGAGCAGTTTCTGCTCGGCATTCCGCAGGCGCTGGCATGTCAGGTGCGCCTCCAGCATGCCTTGCACTCTATGACTGTGGATCAGTGTGCGGATCAAGTAGTTCGCGTGTTGGTTTCTGCAACCCAGGTGTCGGCACCAGTACAGGGTGCACGTTCTGCGGCATTTGCAGCGACGTCGTCTAGTAGCAGCGGACCTACGTAGCAAGCGGTCTGTGTTGTGTTACCGGTGTAATAAGGTCGGCCATATTCAGCGGAATTGCCCGCAGCTACCTAAGTCACCAGCATCCGGCGAACCTGTTTGCTATGGTTGCAAGGAGCGAGGCCACGTCCGCAGTGCGTGCCCCCAGCGGAAGGGGTGTGCTGGAGCAGCTGCGAGTGAGGATGTCGGCCATGTCTGCGTCGCGTCGGAGATTGATGGGCCCGCAGTAGCGTTGCCACGGATCTTCTTGCCTGTGAAGCGTTGTGATGCTGTGGCGTTTCGGCGTTGTGTTGCTGCCATCGACTCGTGCTCAACACACACGTTGGTGTCTCGTCAGTTGGCAGAGGACTTGGCACTGGAGGTGACGACGTCAACGCCTGATATCATCACCGTTGACGGCAATACGCTCAAGGTATTGGGCTCGGCTGTTCTGGATGTCGAGCGGGTGGACGAGACGGTATTTCTGCCTTTCTCGTCTGTGTCTGTATCAATTGTTCCGGAGTTGAGTGTTGTGAATGCGGACGTGCTTCTGGGCCTCAACCTGATATCGCAGCATGGCGGAGTCGACCTCAAGTACGCGGACTCCAAGCTCGTCGGAGCATCTTTCGGTCAAGCAGCTTCAGCTTCCGCAGATGTGCCCAGTTCGGACGTGCGCAATGATGACTGTGATTCGCCTCAGCTGCTACGCCATGTTACCGTGGAGCATGACGGGGAAGATGTCATTCTGACCACTGCGGATGGGTCAGTTCGTTGGCGCGCTCATGTTGGCTACTGGGAGCTTACGTGGGCATGGAAAGACGAACCCCCCACTCGTCCAGTCGGGTCAGGCATTGGTGAATACTCCCGGCATAGCCTGTCAACAGACCAGGAAGCACAGTTCTGCGAGGAAGTGGACATGTGGATCCGCAATGGATGGTTGGTACCCCATGACCAAGCAGTCCATGGTGAGCCTGGTGCTGTGTTGCCCTTGTTGGCGGTGGCCCAGACGCACAAGGAGTCCACCCCTGTCCGCCCGTGTTTGGACTACCGGCAACTCAACAAGTTGATTGTGTCGCATCCAGGTTTGGACGTGCCTGTTTGCCAAGAGAAGTTGCGTCAGTGGAGGTCTATTGGCAACGCCGGCAGCCACGTGTTGCTGGACATCAGCAGGGCTTACCTCAACATCCGCATCGCGCCAGCTCTCGCCAAGTTCCAAACGGTCGTCTGGAAGGGCCAGCTGTTTGCAATGGAGAGGATGGGCTTCGGTCTATCGATTGCGCCCAAATTCATGGACATAATCGTCAAGTGGGTCCTCCGTGCGTATGCTGATGTGGACAACTATGTCGACGATTTGTATGCTCCGAAGCCTCGTCTGCGTGCTGTCACCGATCAGTTGTCGCAGTATGGGTTGCCCACCAAGCCAGCGGAGCCAGTCGTCTCTGCTAGGGTACTTGGTCTGCAGCTGTCAGAGTCTGCAGATGGCCAAGTGAGGTGGAAGCGTCGTGGTGACGTCATGCCGACCTGTCACCCCGATGCCATCACACGACGCGAGATTTTCAAGTGGTGTGGCAAGCTGACCAGCCACTATCCCGTCGGCTCCTGGCTGCGCCCAGCGTGCAGTTATCTGAAGCGTCTGTCTAGCCTTCAGCCTGGATGGGATGATCCAGTGTCTCATGAAGTCGTCGCTTGTGCGGAAGTCATTCACCGTCTGCAGACCGATGACCCTGCGCAAGGTGTGTGGTCAGTTCCTGAAGGCGCACAGTGGTCGTTGTGGTGTGATGCTTCGGACATTGCACATGGTGCTGTCATTCAGGCCGATGGTATGATCGTCGAGGATGGCTGCTGGCTGCGGCAGAAGGACGACCGGCGACACATTAACATCGCTGAGCTTGACGCCGTGATCAAGGGATTGAACCTTGACGTGCAGTGGCAAGTGAAGGAGCTCACGCTATTCACCGATTCCAAGACTGTGGCTGCTTGGTTGCAATCGGTGCTTGGCAATGTGTCTCGTGTTCGCGTCAGCGGCCTGCAGCAGGTACTTGTGCAGCGCCGTCTCCAGATTATCACTGATCTCGTCGCTGTCACGGGCTTGACGGTCAAGGTCCAGTGGATCAGCAGTCAGCAGAACAAGGCGGATCAATTGACCCGTGTTCCCAGCAGCTGGATCCGATGTGGCAAGACGCTCCTTGCTCGGACTGCACCGTCCGTCACCGCTGCGGTGGTGACCGTTGGTCCTTTCTCATTGGACAGAGTATCTGCTGCTCAGAATGCAGATCCTCGGATTGTTTCGACTCGCCAGCAAGTCATCGATGGTGACCCAGTTACTGATCCTGCGTTTGTCAAGGTCAAGTCACAGCTCGTACTCCATGATGGTATGCTGTGTCGAAGTATTAAGTTGCCGCCCAATGATGCAGTCGTCATTCCTGTTATTCCTAGTTCACTCGAGTCCGATGTCGTTCGTGCTGCTCATGTGAACTGTGGTCATGCGTCTTGGGAGGGTACATGGTGCTTCCTCCGCTCGAAGTGCTATTTCCCGAACATGGCTGCCCAATGTCAGCAGTTTGTGCGCCACTGTTCGCCATGTGCTGCTGGTGGTGAGAAAGTGGTGGATGTTGAACTGCTGAAGCGTGATGTTGGTGCTGAGGTGTTTGCTGATGTGCCTGCTGCAGATGCTGTTGCAGATGTGCCTGCTGCAGATGCTGTTGCTGATGTGCCTGCTGCAGATGCTGTTATTGATGTGCCTGCTGCAGATGCTGTTATTGATGTGCCTGCTCCGGGTGCTGTCCCTGATGCTGGGTCTGGGTTTGATCCCCGTGATCCTAATATTGTGCCGCTTCGAGCCCCTGCCGATGATCCTGCTCCGTATCAGTTTCGCCCATATGGCCTCCGTCAGCCTGGTTCGCTTGCACCCCCTCAGCGCTTCCGTTAGTTTTGCTTTGTGGCGCTATTTAGTATTTGTACGAAGTAGTGGTTGCGACTTCGGCGATGATTTGTAAGAAAGGTTTGCTCCCCACACCGGAGCTCGCGCCATTCCGCCGACTTTACTTGACACTTGACTGACTCACGACTGCCATCCAGAGCACACGAGAAGTCCTTCGAACCTTCGACTCGGCAAACCTGCAAGAAAGCACCACTCTCTGCTCAATACACAGTGTTTCGGGGAATTCACCCCTCATCAGTTGAGCTTGAGTAGGCTGAGGAAGATTGTGCCTGAAGAGCACCACTTTTATAGTGCTCTCCAGGCACAAACATCACCAGGGATACAAACTTACAGAGACGCTCCGCTTCCAGCGCGACAAACACCTCGTGAACACCAGATAGTAGCGTGAGTCAGTGTCGCTCCTGGACGGTGAGACAGACGTCGAGGACCCTCGGTCATTCGCAACGCTGTCACCTCCAAACCAACTAGTCGCAAGCCCGCGCTGGGCACAACAGTAGATCTACGAAGTAGTGGTTGCGACTTCGGCGATGATTTGTAAGAACGGTTTGCTCCCCACACCGGAGCTCGCGCCATTCCGCCGACTTTACTTGACACTTGACTGACTCACGACTGCCATCCAGAGCACACGAGAAGTCCTTCGAACCTTCGACTCGGCAAACCTGCAAGAAAGCACCACTCCCTGCTCAATACACAGTGTTTCGGGGAATTCACCCCTCATCACTGACATCAGTTGAGCTTGAGTAGGCTGAGGAAGATTGTGCCTGAAGAGCACCACTTATATAGTGCTCTCCAGGCACAAACATCACCAGGGATACAAACTTACAGAGACGCTCCGCTTCCAGCGCGACAAACACCTCGTGAACACCAGATAGTAGCGTGAGTCAGTGTCGCTCCTGGACGGTGAGACAGACGTCGAGGACCCTCGGTCATTCGCAACGCTGTCACCTCCAAACCAACTAGTCGCAAGCCCGCGCTGGGCACAACAGTACGAAGTAGTGGTTGCGACTTCGGCGATGATTTGTAAGAAAGTGTATTGAGCAGGGAGTGGTGCTTTCTTGCAGGTTTGCCGAGTCGAAGGTTCGAAGGACTTCTCGTGTGCTCTGGATGGCAGTCGTGAGTCAGTCAAGTGTCAAGTAAAGTCGGCGGAATGGCGCGAGCTCCGGTGTGGGGAGCAAACCGTTCTTACAAATCATCGCCGAAGTCGCAACCACTACTTCGTAGATCTACTGTTGTGCCCAGCGCGGGCTTGCGACTAGTTGGTTTGGAGGTGACAGCGTTGCGAATGACCGAGGGTCCTCGACGTCTGTCTCACCGTCCAGGAGCGACACTGACTCACGCTACTATCTGGTGTTCACGAGGTGTTTGTCGCGCTGGAAGCGGAGCGTCTCTGTAAGTTTGTATCCCTGGTGATGTTTGTGCCTGGAGAGCACTATATAAGTGGTGCTCTTCAGGCACAATCTTCCTCAGCCTACTCAAGCTCAACTGATGAGGGGTGAATTCCCCGAAACACTGTGTATTGAGCAGGGAGTGGTGCTTTCTTGCAGGTTTGCCGAGTCGAAGGTTCGAAGGACTTCTCGTGTGCTCTGGATGGCAGTCGTGAGTCAGTCAAGTGTCAAGTAAAGTCGGCGGAATGGCGCGAGCTCCGGTGTGGGGAGCAAACCTTTATTTTAGTATTTGTGGTGGTATTTTCTTTGGCATACCACCAGGGGGAGAGGTGAAGTAGAGTAACCCTCTTGCGCATGTTGTACGTAATTGTAATGATTGATACGTACTTTCGATATTGATTTCGCTGGTGCACACGTTGGTGCAGTGCTGGTGCACGCGCTGATGCACGCGCTGGTGCAGCCAGTTGTTTTCTGCTGTATGTGATGCAGCTTGTTGAGGAGAAGGGTTTTCAATATCTTGTGTTCAGTTCTTCTTGCTTCTGGCCTGGTCGAGGTCGTGCTTTTTTCTTCTGTAAACTTCTTGTGCATTTTGGAATTGAAATTAATAATAATTATAGTCCAACTTATATCCTTGCGCTGGTCTGGTGGTGGATAATTCCACAACAAAGTGTATTCCAACTGGCAGCGCCCAAATAAGAAATTGCACTAAAGCCATATCGGGTGTTAGCGGGGGGCAGAACAAGAGCAGCAGAGACTTGGCCACGGGTGGTGGCTGCAGTGCGAGCACCATGGGCGCGCAAGGTAAAGCGGTCTCGCAGAAGAGGACTAGCAAGTCCATTCAGGCAGCGGTAAACGAATACTTTGAAGTACATAGGTTTTGTAGTTGAGGCGTTTCTCAAGGGCGTACAAGTTAGTATGACTGTATAGAAGAGTGGTGGGAGTCATCCAGTAACTTTCGGCATTCTTTGTTGCCGTGATGCGTAGCTCGTGCTCTTCTTCGTTGCGCTTTCCTTCCCCTCTTTGGTCTTTCCATAACCTTGAACTTTCCAAGTTGGAAGGCCGTCGGTTAGCGCTACGGAGATGTGTCGAAGCTAGGTGTCAGGACGTCGAATGTAGGTAGGTAGGTACATTTTTATTTGAATTCGCAGAACCAAACGGGCGGTGTCGCCCAATTACATGGAAGCGAATGGAAACAGTAAAATATTGTAGGAAATAGCCTAACATGATAGCAGGGTGTAGTACAAAGCAAAGAACGCTCAGTCAATGAATAACGTTAACGTTAGAATACAACAACGGGGAGGCGGTAAACAGCACATGACTGGTACTGTGGAGTACCGCAAACGTTCAAAGATTCTTGTAGTGTTCGGTAGTGGGTGCTACTGCTAGCAAGACAGAACGGGAGGCAGGCTTGTTTTAACTGGTGGTACTGGGTAATACCCCCATGTCTCAGTACTCTGTCAGTTTTGTGCCTAGTTGTTGCACTTTCTGACTGTATAATAGTATCTGGTTACAGTGATGGAGAGTTACTCTCAACTCGTATCTATATTTCCTTTTCCTTTCTACAATTACATGTAATCGCTTTAAAAAGATAAAGAAAAGAGCGAGTGGTACAGCAGTCTTCCTATTCTGAATTCCGTGAACGAAGCAGAAACATTAGCTAGATTCATGTAACTATTACAGAGCAGCACAGTAGCAAGAAAGCTACCTCAGTGTCGACATCAGTGGCCGTGGACTAACTAGACTACGAGTGGATGCGACAGCAACAGTGACTGTGTATAGTAGGGGTGGCCGTGCGGGTGTGCCAATGATGACAACATTGGAATAATGGCTGATACGTTTCATGGCTTGTCGTCTTGCCTCATCATTATCTTCTTGCAGGCGAGTTCTGGAACCTAACTCTAGAGGTTCACGACATCCATTTGTGATGCGACTCTTGATGGAAGTACAACAACAACAACAACAACAACAACAACAACAACAACAACAACAACAACAACAACAACAACAACAACAACAACAACAACAACAACAACAACAACAACAACAACAACAACAACAACAACAACAACAACAACAACAACAGGAACCAGAACAACAGCAGCAACCACAGCAACATCGTCAACCTCACCACTGAGAAAAAAGGGGCCGAGCGTGATCCTGTGCGTTCTGGATTTCGCGATATGTGATCTGTTTCCATTCCTCGACAGTTCGGTCTTGCCAGAACATTGTGTGCGTAAACTGGTCCGGGGCGGAACGATAAGGTTTACTACTGCTCCGCGGTCTTCGGACGTACGGATGGCGAAGTGCGCGTACAATGGAGATGCGCTCGTCAGGGTTGATCTTAAGCATCTTGGATATTAGGTCCTTAGCTTGATTAGTGCGGATCCAATCTTCCGGTGCTTCCATTACGTCACCACCCTGTGATGTCATCATATGCTGGTTAGCAGGATCTTTAGCTTGGTGCAGTCTCTGCTGTCCCAGAAGCCGCGAAAGGATGCATCCGATCGCCCACGAATCCACACCTTTTCCGCATTGACTGCCCTGGATGACTTCTGGAGCAAGATAGGCACTGGTCCCGCCGGTTACACCCGCGTTTCCCTCTCCGTCATCTACTAGCGACATTCCGAAGTCAGCAATCTTCAACGTAGAGTCGCTATTCATCATAATATTGCGAGGTTTTAGATCTCCGTGAATTATGTTTCTGGCATGCAAATAACGGACTCCACAAAGAATGTCACGCAGGATTGATATGATATCAGAGTGGTCTAAGTGCTTGCCGACTTTAGAACTTAAGTCACAATCCATCTTCTGCATCACCAGGTAAACATCGCTGAATTCTGGCAGGTTTGAGGCTGAAGTAAATATGTCCAATACGCCCATGCACTGGGGATGCTGCAAGTTGCGCATGAGAACTACCTCCCTGAATGTGTTCTTAGCCGAGCTGGCATCCTGGAACGGCTTGCAAATCTTCTTGATGGCAACCTTCCGCTTTTCCCGTTTGTCCCAGGCCTCCACCACAACAGCTTGTCCTCCTTTCGCAATCAGTGATGCCTTTTCATATCGCTGCGGTAAGTTGAACGTTTCTTCTCCGATAGTTGTTCTGCAGAAAGAACACTCTTCACTGCCTCCGCCAGACATCGTTCTCTCAATACTACAATAGCATCCAAGGAACGAGCCGTACAATCTGAACGATGTCTCTCCTTAGTGTAATATCCAAGCCAATGGAGAACACTACATGTACTATGTTGAGTGCATGATTGCAAAGTTAGTTACAGTCAACTGGGGAGAAATGCACTGACAGCGAGCTACACGGTCTTATTGTTTTATATCCTACTTTCAACGCGCGAGTTCGCGGCCTTACCGCCAGGCCGCTAGCAGGAATAGCGATAGCGAAGCCACCGTGTTTTGAAATAATAATTGGAGTTGGCGGTACGGTGACGAAATCGAAGCCGCCTTCACATCATCATCTTTTTTTTGTACGTGTACATGTACATGTCGTAGGATAGTGTGGGCGAGTGATCACGTGATCCCACAATCACTGCATGCGTAGCCCACAATGTAAACCACCACGACTGGGTCTACGTCATGGATTGTCTTGTAGCGGGGAAAACTCGCCCACTGAGACCGCAAAAGGATCGCACGCGTGCACGGGCCGGCAAGGAAATCATGTCTTTTCCAAATACTGTACTATTTTTTTAAAAGCCTCTTATAAGGGCAATCACGTGATCACATGATTTCACTGGCCTGACCGCGGCAACAACTGCAAAGCAAAACAAAACAAACTTTAAATAAAATGAAAATGAAACTTTACAATCTGCACACAATGACAACTCCATTTTTAAGATAGTCTCTGTTGATCAGTCGGTATCCGTTACCCGTGTTAGCTAGTTGCCAACAAGGCGGGCTTCGGCAACAGGAACATCTGGAGAGGCGTCAGCCATCCCCCTATGCCAGGGAAATGGTGAGCGGGCCCCCCGCAGACACATGATATTAGCACGCAATAAAGCAAAGGCCAGACGGCTCCGGATAAGCGAGATATGGGTATGATACCCAACCGATCCACGCTCCTCCATAACATAAGGACAGCCAGCCGCCGATAAAACGCAGTAGCAGCACGGCGCATACCACCAGTTGTTGCCAGGACAAGTGGAGTTAAACCCGACATCTCCACCTCTCGCACTCGTTCAGCATAAATACTGTACTATAGTCTATAGTACACATGTATGTGCTACTAACTCATTCAAGCACCCCCCCCCCCCTACTTCGAGCAAAAATGCGACAAAATGCTGACTGCTGATTGATCAAACTGGCAATTTGGAGCACGTGCGCCGTCCCCAACTAGTCGACGCTTTTCTACGCAACTGTGAACCGTGAGGTTACTTGCGAACCGCCTTACTCGAGTACGCTGTGCTGCACAGGCTACGAAGGCAGGACTCAGTTGTGTGCTTTGCTCCTCGTGATAGAGAAGTTCCTTTGATTCCCGGTTTCATCCGTTATTGTTGATCGCCATGCGGCCGGTGAAGGAAAGGGAGGAAAGAATCGTCGTCGAGGAAAGACCGACAGCGACAGAAGCTACTCCATTCAAGAATTAGTATTCAGAGAGGATTGCCAATACTACGCTCAAGTGACAACGATGTTTGGCTGTTGTCGGCTCGAGGCTTTCTGCTATGATTGGTACAACGCGGATATGCCATATTCGGGGAAAGCTGCGGAAGAAGGTCTGGATCAACCAAGGCGACGTCATCCTGATTGGCGTCAGGGACTTCCAGGACTCTAGAGCAGATGTAATTATGAAGTACAGCCATGAAGAGGCAAGGAAACTGAAGGCGTATGTAGAGCTGCCAGGGGCAGCCAAGGTCAGCGAAACGGTCTCCGCGTTTGCTGCAGATGAAGGAGCTTACATTGTCTTCGACGATATGTCAGACGCTGAAGATGATGATGATGTCTTTGATGCGACGACGCGACTGGTGACTCAATGACAATGGACAGTGCGGCATAACTGGTAAAGGAGAGCATCCTCCAGGAAAATGCAGGAGAGACAACTCCGTGAACAAACGCTTAGAGGGGATAATCCAGATTACAGATTCATTTATTACTGCTTTCTATCTGCATTCGCCACCTTTTCATTGGGCAGACCTGCCCGTTTGGTTTGCGAATTAAAATAAACACAACAACAACAACAACAACAACAACAACAACAACAACAACAACAACAACAACAACAACAACAAGGGCACTTGCCAACTCCGCGGACTGACCGCTGTCTCCATTCTCCCCTGTACAAGGCCCTTCATTACTTTAATTGCTTGCCCACCCAGCTTCGCGAAATCCCTTCTCGTTCTCCCTTCAAATCCGAGATATCCCTGCTGTTGCACAACTCTGTATGCTCGTGTAGCGACCACCCCTGCCCGTACACTTAAGTACACAACTCTGTATGCTCGTGTGGCGACCACCCCTGCCCGTACACTTAAGTAGTCATTAAACCCTAGGCCCTGCCCACCCAATTCTTCCTCACTCATTCTCCTTTCTTACACTATTATCTCTTATTGGCCACTGGCTATCGTGAGAATAAAGATTTGAAACAACAACAGATGCTGATGAAGGAGCTGGTGACCCTATATTATAAGCGGGCATAGATGGTGGCACCTCCACGTGGTTATGCCTGATAACGTTTGCATTCAAGTCGCTGCCGCTGGGCAGTGAAAAAGGAATGCGAAAGGCTAAGTCCACCAACACAATCCATGCAAAACAAACAATCTCTCCGGAAATGATGGAAAGAGAAAAGGATCGATGAGTTACTAGTTATGACTAACGGTCCAGCTAGGTAACAAGATAATAATTATACAGTCAGATAGTGTGCTGACGGATAATCTGCAGAAGGCGAGAGACAGTGGCAAGATCACAGGGCTGTGCATATTAGACATGTCGAAGGCTTTTGATAATGTGCACTACGACGAGTTGATCCGAGACCTTGCGGTTGGAGTTTTTGGAAATGCCATCAGTTGGTTCGTCGACTACTTGTCCGGTCGCAAGCAGCAGATCCTCATCTCGCCTTTAACCAGCCCTGCTCCGACTTGCACCCACGGAGTGCCCCAACAATGGAGTACTGCTGCCTGGTGTGGATGGGGTCAGGTACATCCAGGCTAGACAAAATCCAGCACAATGCACTGAAGCCTTGAAGGTGATTGGCCCAGGCGCCTGGCTCCCCAGCATGAAACACCGCCGACTGGTTGCTGCGCTTTCGTTCACGTTCAAGCTGGCCTACCTTCCAACAACAAGCCCCCTGAAGCCTATCCTCCCACCTCCAGCCAACCCCCGCCCAGTGGGCGGTCGATCCACTAGGTTAGCAACGGAGACTGCCCACTGCCACCCGCTCCAGCTCAAGTCGACGCTGCCCGTGGGTAGGGTCCAGCGGATAATGCCGGCATTATATTCGGCATTATACGACTATCCGAGCATCAGAGCATTATGGAGCCTTAGAAAGGAACAAAACGAGCATTATGTGAGGTTTGAGCGGCATAACGAGTTTCATAGTGGATAATATCGGGGAATCCCAGGTTTTTGGCAACAATCGGCTACAATCATGATCATGAGATGTTGTCTGATGAATGGTTTTTGCCATGAAACTCTGAGTAACAACGAAACAGCCCTATTTTACTCCTTTTGTGTACCTCTTGCGTACCGATACTACGCTCCTCCCATCCCGGGCATTTGAGCACTATGCATTGCATGACATTGTGATTGTGTAGACACGTAACACCTTGAGCACTAACGCTGCATTACTATTGCTACATAAAAACGTTATGATTGTAGCGATGTGATTAGGTAAATGTATACAAGCCATTTGTGAAGCATGCCCAACCGAGGCCGCGCCGAGGCAGTTCAAGTGACACAAATCCGGAGAAATTATTTACGAGGTTTCTTTTACTTTTAGAATAATGGAGAGCTCTGGAGTAGACATACGCGAAGTGCATATCAAAAAGACGAAGAAGAGTTTTCTAGTTGTGCCAGAGGCTCTGGCGATACTGAAGTAGACACTGATGCATTGCTAAATTTGGACCAGGATGAAGGAGCGGCTATAAACAGAAAGAGCTCGTTCCAAAAGAACTGCCTTTGCTGAGTCCAGCTCAGGAGGCTCGAAAAGAACTAGAATTTCTCATGGACTCAGTACCAAGTCGATTGCTCAGCAGCGCCTGTCCTACTTTCCCGATGAAGCACGTACAGTTAGTTGTGGACGGTTGTAATGCCAGGCCTACAGTCAAATGCTATCAGAAAGGAAGAGTATTGTGGCAAGCCATACGTCTACACACCATCTCAAGGAGAAGATGAGAGCACAAGCAAAGGATGTAGAGTGGCAAAATAACTTCTGACCACGTGTTTTCAGGATTTCCGCAAATGGGAGGGCTCTCCATCTGAGATCGGATCTCAGGAGCTGGCCTCACGTCTGGTGTTTCAGATGAAGGCATTATTCACAGAGTGGATGCAGTGACAGCTTGTCTCCAGGCAGGAATACTATTTGCCAATATTAACTTCATCCCAACAAAGAATGACTACCTGCAATAATGGTTTCATCTCTCACTACATGGACAATTAGGGGAAAGATTTGATACACCGACTATTCTGCCACAACCCTGCATCAAAGTTGGAATGTAGAGCAATCAATGGAGAAGTGATCCGATGTCTTATAGTGCTAAGAAGTGGTGGAGCTCGTGAGAGATAAGGTGGCAACTTCAGATGCAGATCGACGATATGCATAATTTCCTGGAAATCTGACAATGTGCAGACTTTCTTCCATTTTTGTCCCAAACCAAGAGCATTATACCCCTTGCTGAAGCATTATAATCAGCATTATAAGGCAGTTTTCGGAGCATAATGGTTAGCATTATACGAACATTTTCGGAGCATTATCCGCTGGACCCTACCCGTGGGCATTCGTAGCAGCCTCCAGGGTTCCTACCCAGACTGCATTATTCCCTTGTGGAACAGCCTACCAGCGACCATTCTACCAGCATGGCCGCAACCCAGACAGCTCCAATCCTTCAAGGAAAAATGCAACAAGTATCTGCTGCACCTGAACTGGCAAGCAGCCACGGACGCCCTATGAAACGGTTTAGACCAGTGCCTCACTAGCATCCTCC